CCAGCGCTACAGTGAAACAACCTATGCTAGTGTTGAGCACTTCCCGTGTACTTAAGTCACACCAGCGCTATAGTGAACCAACCTATGCTAGTGTTAAGCACTTCCCGTGTACTTAAGTCACACCAGCGCTATAGTAAACCAACCTATGCTAGTGTTAAGCGCTTCCCGTGTGCTTGGACATAGCCAGCACTTCGGGTTGTGAACAGCCTTGTACCATAACCACATGACGCAAAATCAGTAGAAACCCCTTGATGGGGCCTTAGGGTTTTGACAACCCTAAAACTCTGTAACCCTAAACCCGCGATTAAGATAAAGACTCGCTATTAGTTAAAACTCTAAGGTAGCTCACTATCAAGGACAATACTCGGGATCAGTTAAAACTCTAAGGTAGCTCACTATCAAGGACAATACTCGGGATCAGCTATGATTGCGGCGATGAGATAGAGGCGTTGTACTGATCTGTTTTTTATTGAAGTACACACTCTGCATGGCACTGTGTCACACCTTCTCACAGGTCAAATCTCTCAATCAGCAGGGAAGTACATCTCGCACTGGAAGGCTGCACTCTCCTCTACCTGTTTCTATACATACATATATATCGGTGTGTATATCTATACCTATATATCTATATATCTATACCTATATATCTATATCTATATATTTATATTTATATAAATATATATATATATACATATATATAGACATGCTATATATACATAGACACGAGCACACAGATTTATCTACATATAGTATACTAATACACCCTTGTCGTCGATGAAATGCTACACATACACAAGTAGAATGCTCGCGTAGATTATGTGCAAATCTGACAGTGGCCGTGACTTTGCAAAGCTTGGTTTACATCCCCCTCGGCTCAACGGGGTTCTAAATATAGACCGCACGCTAAATATAGTACCGAACTCTTAATTAAAGACTGATAAGTACGGCCGTACTAGTCGATGTGTGCGCGGCAACTTGGACTCGTCAGAGCTACTGGTAGCACTCCAAGCCGAGAACAAGCAATCTAACTATGCACCACTAAGAATACTACCAGGATGCATGCATGACCACTTAAGGGAAAATGGGCGCAAGGAACTTCCTGCCGCTTTCATACACGCCGAAGAAAACAAAGCCTCCTATCGTGATCCACATGGTCCTCGGAACAACACCTGCAGATGAGGTCACGAACATATAATGAGTGGACTAAAATGTATCTACACATGACAACATGTCTCTTTAGACCGTCGGCAAACTTTATATAGGCGTTCGTACGGCTATAAAACCCCGGTTTTTCTTTTACGGCTATAAAACCCCGGTTTTCCCGAGTACACGGTATATACTTTGTGCACACCATCGTTGTTAACGGAGATACACAATTGACCCGACAACACTCCATCCACATCCGCAATGGAATACAACCTATGAGCGCTGGCCACAGCCGTGTGGGTGATGCTAACACACGATACACAAACGCCAGCCACCTCCCTGGCCCATTCTCGATACCCTCGTGCCTCGTGTGCGCCAGTGTAGTTGTTGACTACAGTGATGAACAATTAAATTGGGCCAACTCGTTGTACAACCAACCACAGCCCATTCTTCGTCAACACAGGATTGACTATGACCGGGACGTCATATGCATGTGACTCCGAGTCACGGAGGTTTAGGGTCTAGAGATGATCAATTAGGATTGCACTCGTACACATGAGTTCATTTTAGTACCGCGAACCAAGCGAGTCTAAAATATCCGTAGGGAAGACACACAGAACAGTTCGGTACATTCAGCGTCTGCCGAATTTTTACACGAGCAAGCGTTCGTAATAGAGCGAGGAAGGTAATGGAAAGGGGATCATGGCATAGCGCTCAATCACTGTACTATAGTCTGGCCATCTGATATGCAATATAGTACCCGAAGTTTAGTATGATTTACCTTTCGCATGGATCAGACACATGCACCACTAGTAGGTTAGTGTTGCATTCGAACACGGGGCGGGACTTCTACCTACACACACCTTGATCAGCCGTAAATACTGACGAGGCAACGACACGAATAAACAAGCAACACATACCAGCGTATAACTTTTTCGGTCCCTCCTCGGCTAAGATCCGCGAGAATGTTCCTGAGATGGTGGTGTATGCCGTAGCACCGGTTCCCTGGTGCAGTTGAAGGATGAAGAATGTAGAGAAGTGTGAGTTGGAGTCTGCTCCGGCGAGTTGGAATGTGCTCTGACGCGTCGGAATGTGCTCTGACGATTTGGAGGTTACCATGGCGACTTGAACTTGGACTGATTGGATGATATGGATGTTTAGCGTTTCAGACAACTTTTGAGTGTCCGAAGTATGTATTTCGCACACACTAGCTAACGTCAGGAGGGGATCGGATCGATATGATACTGGCCTATTAAACAGGAGCTTCAATCGCCTGTATCTGTCACACACCAATCCTTCAGCATGTTTTACCTTAAACTCTTTCTAAGCTCCGTGCACGCAAGGGCTTTCACGTGAAAGCAAAGCCAACCAAGGCACTCATAAGACACATCCGATCGAACTACGTACGAACGCATGCATGGATATACAAAGATACACGTGGTATCTGAGTGTATCCGGAATACTGTCTGCGTGCAACATCAAGTACCCGGTCAGTCTACAAGGCACATCACATATACAAAATGTACGGTATTGTTATATAACTATTCGCACTACACGATTAATCATCTTATAGTACTATCTCCAAAAGGTACAGTGTGTGAACTGCTAAGCTACACCCATACGCACACATCACACGTGTTTGAGTGGCGTATGAACAACACAGACTGTGATCATTGTAAGACACAGATGTGGGCGAGCTGGTTACACTACTCGCATAATAATATTCACGTTCGTCTAGACATACGAACAAGAGAGTTATGTACCATGCATACATACACTTAGGTAATATATCCATATATGAAAATGCGGATACAATGTATGAATATATATACATATATATACTTGTACATATACATATATACATATATATAAATTTATATATATATATATATGTGTGTGTGTGTGTGTATGTATGTATGTATGTATGTATGTATATGTATATATATGTATATATGTATATATATATGTGTGTGTGTGTGTGTGTGTGTGTGTGTGTGTGTGTGTAAAATACTACTTACAAATCTATAGTTCACTCACAACACCTGCATTACCTGGCTCAGCATGATCCTGGTCTTCACCACATCCAGCGGTGTGGTAAGCGCACCCGATATACCGCCGGCCATTGACCCACACAGGGCCCCTTGCCAGGGATCAACTCTTCCGTCCTGTTGTTTGCCTATTTGTGAGCGGAAAGCCTCGTACAGCGGGAATTGAATGATGGAGAAGGGCACCTCACGCACTATAGTGGACAGGTATCCACGCCACAGCCCTGTGATACCATGGCGGGTGATGATCTGTGGCAAAAGATGAAGATGGATGGGGAGGTGTGCAGGTAGGAATGAGTCATAGTTGTGTGAAGCGCTTCCTATACCGGGCATTGGATGATAGGGAAGGGCACTCTACGCCACAGCCCAGTGATACTATGGTGGGTGATTATGTATTGCGACTCGTAGATAGTACGCTCAAAAGGTATAACTGAGTAAGATGGTAATATGCGGACCGTTTGTATGGCAACTGGTATGTAGACTTGGTTTGAAGTATATTTGCTCCGTATAGACAAAAGGTACTTTAAAACTGTTGTGTGTGTCCCTGGTGCCAAGACGTCCCACCCAGATGTGGTACTGATTGTTGTATAGTGATCCCAATTCCTCAGTTCGGGTCACACACACCTCAGCGGTCTCATACACGTCCGCACCTTTTGTCAGTAGGACGGGACACCTACCAATGACAACTGCATGGCATACGGCTGCTCACTATTGAGATTCTTAAAATTGGATTTATATTTCGTATCTTCTACAAAATATAACTTGTCTGTCTGATCTCACCCACGCCTACTCCTACGGTTACAACTTAAACAGACAGAAATTCGTTTGAAACAATACATACAGTTTGAAGTTTCATTCTATATATATCTACACGACTTAATACACAGGGAGGCAATTTGAAGGTGGTATGCGTATGACGACTTAAACAACCAGGGACTTGAACTGAACGACAAAAACTGAAGTCACGCGACTTAAACTAACAGAGATGTAACCTACATAAACTATACGCAAGTGCCAACTCTCCTGCAAATAAGCCTACATCCACACACCCAAGCACACCGAACCTCAACCTCATCAAGAAACGCGCACAACCAAGTACACAGAACCTCAACCTCCTCAAGAAACGCGCACAACCAAGTACACAGAACCTCAACCTCATCAAGAAACGCACACAACCAATTACACCGAACCTCAACCTCACCAAGAAACGCACACAACCAAGTACACCGAACCTCAACCTCACCAAGAAACGCACACAACCAAGTACACAGAACCTCAACCTCATCAAGAAACGCACACAATCAAGTACACAGAACCTCAACCTCACCAAGAAACGCACACAACCAAGTACACCGAACCTCAACCTCACCAAGAAACGCACACAACCAAGGACACCGAACCTCAACCTCACCAAGAAACGCGTGTATTAAAACTCACCCACGAACACCCCCACACTCTCACAACACACATTAATATCCAAACAAAGACTCCGCCCTACCTGTTTGACTACCGAGGCGGCGGTAGTTCCCCCGGTGGTTTGCATATTCTGCTTGACCATTTCACACGGCACTCGCACCAGACAGGCCATCTATACCCCACGGCCCAAATATTATGGGTCAGTGAGTGGAACATGCAAAGTACGATGAAGTCGTGCATGCAAAAGAAGTGATGTAACTTCGCTCAATGATCTGGCATGGCAAGCGTAGTGTGTTCAGGGTTGTGTCATGGGGTTGGCGTGGTTTTGGTAGGCTATCTAAGCCCCACGGCCCAAATGGTTTGGGTCAGTGAGTGGAACGTACAAAGTACGATGAAGTCGTGCATGCAAATGAAGTGATGCAGCTTCGCTCAATGATCTGGCATGGCAAGCGTAGTGTGTTCAGGGTTGGGTCATGAGGTTGGTGTGGGTTTGGTCAGACTCGGACAGTTGGGCGTGTCGCAATCTTTCACACCGGTTCGTTAAGATCACGCAGCTGCGCAAAGACCCCTTCCTAACAGTACAAACACACGTACAACATGCAGAAGGCAGAGATGGTTCAAGGTACCAACACAGTGAACATCACATGTGCTATGATGTACCTGCAGCTGGGGATCTAGATAACGTACATAAAGACAAATCACGTATAAAAGCAGGACGAGGACAGTCACCTTCCACTGCATACGTTGCTGCATATGGATTCCAATTACTTCCAAGTCTACACGTCTATACGCGCACTCATTTAGAGACACGCATCCGTTAAATTGGAACAGAGTACATAACTAGTATATATATATATATATATATAAATGTATATAAATATATATATATTATTCTATATATTATTAGATTATATATACATATATTAAATT